ATAAGTTTGCGGGTGAAAAATATTGAGTTTTTATTATTTTGTGTACTTGTTCGCATGAAAAAAAAAACGAAAAATTTGAAAAAAATAATATTTTGTTTTTAGCTTTATTTTTATTTTTGTGTGTTTGTGTGGGTTAGATAAATTTGCCGAATATAATGCAAATATTTGGAAACATGTGTTAAATTATAAATTGTGGAAAAGTTACATGTTAGGATTGATGAGTTTCATGCCACGTTATTTGACTCTAGGGTAATGCATTTTTTTTTTTGTTTCATAGTCTTTTATTGTGAAATCTAGTATTGTGTGTGATAAGTGTGATAGAATACTAGAGGTTAACATTTCCTTAAGTAGAGCATTAAAAATATATACACGATCGTTTGATGCAAACTTGTTTATAATATATAAAAAATAATTTGATATAATTTTAGGCATGGATTAGTTGGGAGATAATCACGTTAGCATCTAATGTCGAGAGAATGAAGTATCTTTTAAAGCTCCAGCGAAAGAAGAATTTTCTTATTTGGGGTAAAGACCAAACATAAAATACAGATAATTTCAGCGTTAAAATCTAAGATGATGTTGGGGAAAGGAATGTGTTAAGGGTTCCTAGTCAGTGTTCTAAAAATGAAGCATTAGAAAGCTAAGTTGAGTGAAGTACCGGTAGTGCAAGAATTTGAAGATGTGTTTTTAGAAAATCTACCAAGTGCCCCAACTAATAGGTAAGTCAAGTTTGCAATAGATCTAGTTCCTAGAGCAGCGTCGATATTTGTAACAACCCGACCTCTATGTACAAGTCGTTATATCATACGTATTGTCCACTTCGAGTCGTTATATCATACGAATTTCTATCGTGTCCCTCAAGATTTGGACCCAAGACCTCTACTTAATGAGAGGCTTAAGTTGAATCATGGGAGACATGATAGAAATTCATGAGAGGATAAGTAGGCAAATGTCCACAAAAAGCAGACTGTACATATGATATAACAGCTCGTGCATAGAGGTCGGGTCGAGACAAAAAATACATTTTTTTGTAACGATCCGGGCTCTATACATAAATCGTTAAATCATACCTACTGTCCACTTTGGATGGGCATCTTCCCACTTGCCTTTTCACTAATTTCAATCGCGTCACCGAGGATTCGAACATAAGACCTCTATTTAATGAGAGACTCAAGTTGAATTCTAGTACCAATTGGGCAAGCGTCCTACGATAGAAATTCATGAGGGGGTAAGTGGACAGATGTCCACCCAAAACGAACAGTACATATGATATAATGGCTCTTACATAGAAGCCGAGTCATTACAGTATCTAAGACTCCACATTGAATGGCACCAAAAAAGCTAGAAGAGTTAAAAGGTTCAGATTCAGAAGTTGTTAGATAATAGGTTTATTCGACCTAGTGTCTCTCCATAGGTAGCACCAATATTGTTTGTTAAGAAGATAAAAGGTACCGTGAGAATGTGGATATATTATCGTAAGTTGAACAAATTCGTTATTATGAATAAGTACCTTCTACCCAATTACAAGATTTGTTTAATCAGTTGAGAGGAACAAATATATTCTCTGAGATTGATTTGCAATCTTGGTATGTACCAAAATTAGCTTTACGGACTCGATATGATCATCATGAGTTTATACCTTTTGGAGTAATTAATGCTTTGTAGTGTCTATGGATTTGTGAATAGGGCATTTCATCAATTCGAGATCAGTTTGTCATAGTCTTTATTGTTGACATTTTGCTCTATTTGTAAGATCATAATTAGCGCAAGGAGCATCTCGAGACAACATTAGAAACTTTACGAAAGGAAAGGGTGTATGCTAAGTTCAATGAGTATGAATTTTGGCTCAACCGAATAGGTTTCTTGGTTACATAGTTACTAGAAATGGAATTGAGTTTGACCCAACTATGGTAGATGCAGTAACTAAGTAGAACTGTCTATCTAATGCAAGTGAAGTTCGTAGTTTTCTGGGTTTAGCTAGCTATTATAAGAGATTCGTTTAAGGTTTCTCTAAGGTGGCTGGATCGAACAATGTTTTGAAGAGTTGAAACGGGGTTAGTCACGAAACATTAGCTATTCCAAAAGGATCAGGGGGTTTAGTAATTTATAGTGATGCATTTAAGCGGATCTTATGATGTGGTTTTATGCAGTATGGAAAGGTAATTGCCTATGCTTCAAAGCAGTTAAAGTAGAAATATCAGAATTACTCTCCGTATGATCTTGAGATTGCGACAGTGGTTCATGTATTGAAGTTATGGTGTCACTATCTGTATGGAAGTAAGTGTGAAATCTATACTGATTGCAAAAGTATCAAGTATTTCTTCACCTAGAAAGAATTGATTATGAGACAAAAGAGATGGTTAAAGTTGGTAAAAAATAATGATTGCACTATTGATTACCAATATCAATTGCTCAAGGATTTCGAGATCAAATTATTGAACCAGTATCAATCTAATCTTAAAGATTGAATTATTGAAGCACAAGATAAGANTATTTCATTAGAACAGTGTTCGAAACCCAACACATAGCAGCTATAGTAGAAATATCAGAATTACTCTCCGTATGATCTTGAGATTGCGACATTGGTTCATGTATTGAAGTTATGGTGTCACTATCTGTATGGAAGTAAGTGTGAAATCTATACTGATTGCAAAAGTATCAAGTATTTCTTCACCTAGAAAGAATTGATTATGAGACAAAAGAGATGGTTAAAGTTGGTAAAAAATAATGATTGCACTATTGATTACCAATATCAATTGCTTAAGGATTGCGAGATCAAATTATTGAACCAGTATCAATCTAATCTTAAAAGATTGAATTATTGAAGCACAAGATAAGAATCTATTTCTCCTGGAAATTGGAAGTGAGGTCAGATCTAATATGATCAAAGATTTCAAGATGACGTCGAAAGGCAATAAATTTCAAAGGAAGGTTTTGTGTGCGTAAGTATGAGAAAGCAGAGAATCAGAGAAGTATGTTAGCATAAGTTTTGTCAGCAATGTATAGTTTGTCAAGCTGTACATTATTAAATTATGTCAGTATGACATGTTAACATAAGTTTTGACAAGAAAATATGGTTGAGTGGATTTGGACATGTTAAAATGTAAAATAGAAATTGCGGCTTTTGTGTAAAATAGATCAATCCAGTTTGAAAGCCATATGAGTCCTCACCCATCGGCATTGGAATCAAGTCATTTGAATGTCGATGTGATAAGTTATGCCATTTTCCATGTGTTGGGTTCAATGTACCCTGGAAACACTTTTGGCATGTATTTTGAGTGTCCATTTGAGTTCCTCAATGATGTTAGAAAATTATGAAATTTTACCATGTTGTACATGAATGAGTTTAGGAAAGAGTATAATAATTTCATAGAATTCTGAACTTGAAAAATAGTCTAACTAAGGTTGATCGTTGGGTAATGCTGAACTCCGTTAATGTAAGCTAGCCTCCATTTTCATCTCCATCTCCATCTCCATCTTGTTATAGTTTTTGTTTATAAATAATTTTTTTCTAATATTTGCTGGAACTAGTAATAAAATGTAAGCATAATCTAGGAAATAAGAAAAAAATTAATTTAACCCGAATTTCGAAAAACTAAGAAGCACGTTTTTGTAACAAATCAAAATCTTATGTTTTAGGACATTACAATAAAGCTGACATATTAATTTGTTAAACTAGATAACTTGAAAATGCAATCACGCATTTTACATTTTTCAAGTAAATATGCTACCTAATTGAGTCGTGGTCGTAAAATTTTAAAATATACCACGATGATTTATTTTTAAATTTTCTAGGCACAACTTTATTAGGTACCTGAAATGTAAGACATCAAATTGTTACCAATTTTTTATCATCTACGTACGATTCGGATGTTGAGTTGAGTGAATGACACTGAGCCCCTATCTGGTTTGCGTAAAAATTAGATTTTTAGTAGATTTTAATAAAAGTTGATGAAATGTGCATTGAAAAGTTATAAGATCCAGTCTAAAAAGCACTCGGAAACGAGACACTGTCAAAATGCCCCACCTTTTATTTATTTATTTTTTAAAGCATTTTGTTTAATTAGTTTAAATGTTTTTCCTTTAAACATTGTATAATTGGCTAATTGTAGGTATTATTAAATAAAAAAAATATTTTATAATTTTAGATGTCTAATATGTATTATTTTAATTATTCAGTATTTTTAAAATAATTAAAAATTAAAATAATATTAAAAATAAGAAAATATTTTCGTAAAACTTGAAATTTGGCCTCCACGTTTTGTCACGCTTTACACTATTAGAATATTAGTTAAAATTAATTATTGATTTTAACTTAAATTTTAATTAGATTTTTTTAGCTAAACTAAACAGGGCTAAGTGTGTATTTTATTTTCTTTAAATCAAATTAGTATCGAAATTTGATATTTGAAAGTGAAAAATTCTGTTAAAATATTCAGACTAAATGTTTCACCCATTTCCACCAAGTGGTTGGCAAGATAAAATGCAATAAGTCGACAAAGATAATAAGTACTATTTAAGATAATATAATTTATTTAATTTTAGACTTATAAATGGCAAATTATCCATTCATCATAATGCAGGGGTTGTTTCGTCCATTTCCACCAAGCGGTTGGCAAGATAAAATGCAATAAGTCAACAAAGATAATAAGTACTATTTTGGATAATATAATTTAGGGAAAATTGCAGTCACGGTACCAAATCTTTAACTTTTTTGCAGACTTTGTTCAAACCTTTGATTTGTGCCACCCACAATACCAAACCTTTCAAAAATATGTACCGGAGGTCCGAATGAATGGTTTCCGTCCAATTGATCGTTAGTTGACCAAAAAAGTCCAAAAGAGTCATCTTCCTCCTCATACCATCCAAACCGCTTCAACCACCACCAGCCAGCGTCGGCACAACCTCTTCCTCCTCAGCACGTCCTCTTCCTCCCCATCTCGAGCGGTCCCTCTTCCTCTACCCCCGATTTTCGCTCCGACCTCCACCCAAATTCAAGAATGCTCCGACCTCTACCGCCTCTTCCTCCCACCGCCTCTTCCTCCCACCACCAAGACCGCCGTCGCTTCCTCCCCCACCACAACCTCAACAAACCCGTGAACCCACACCCTACAGTATCTACTATCTGTTCCTCGAATTTTCCTCAAACCTGTGAACCCAAACCCGAATTGCAAGCCCTAATTCAAGAATTCTCTATAAATTCTTATGCTCATTCTCACTGGAAGCATAGTATTGGAAGTGATGGTGGCAATAAGGAAAATAAAGCCCACATTCAGAGGATTATTGCAGCTATAAAGGCTCTTGCAAATGTGATCCGGATTGGGAAGGAGGTTATTGTCTTCAAGCCATCTAAGACTGAGAAGCATGTGAGTGAATTCGCTTCAAAGTTAACTTCTTCAGAGGTTCCTGCTTCCACTGTTGGTTATGGCAGGATTCATTGTGGGAATTCTCTGTAAATTCTCAGTAGATTCGGATTTGGGTTCACAGGTTTGACGGGAATTCGAGGAAGACATGGTAGATACTGTGGGGTGTGGGTTCACTGGTTTGTGCCAGCACAGAGGTGGTGGAGGTTCCGGAGGTGTGCCAGCACTGTTGTTGGCTGGAGAAGAGAAATCGAGGTTGGGTGGTGTGGGGTGGTTAGCCTTTTTATTTCTTTTCTTTTCTTTTCTTTATAATTATTTTATATGAGAAAATGTAAATTTACCATTTTGTCCTTAATGAATTTGGTCAATTTTGACTTTTTTGGTCAACTAATGGTCAACTGGACGGAAACCATCCATTCGGACCTCCGGTGCATATTTTTGAAAGGTTTTGTACCGTGGTTGGCACAAATCAAAGGTTTGGGCAAAATCTGCAAAAAGGTGAAAGGTTTGGTAACGTGGCTGCAATTTTCCCTATAATTCATTTAATTTTGGACCCACAAACAATCCCAAAAAATCGATTTTTTTTTCAGACAATGGCTAATACATAAAGTAAATTGAAGTTCTTGATAAATTAAAATTGAATGACCTAATAGAGATTTCACTTAAAGTTCAATAACTAAAAATGAAGTTATTCGTAATTTACTTTAATTATTCTAAAAAAATAAATTATTTCCATTTAAGTTTAGCCAAACATGGTAAAAACCATGCTCACGGTTTTTATCCGCCCTCCATGGGATCCGAAAACTTGATCAGTAAAATTTTGCAGGTTTATGGTATTGTATCCAAGTAATAGTGTGAATAAAGCATTGTTCTAATACTAAATTTAATCGAATAGTGTAATGTGATTGATTTTGATTTTGACCAAGTAGATTTACAACTATCTAAATACTAAATTAATGAACTACTAAGAAACTTTTATAAACTCTATTAATGACAACACTAGGTGTCAAGGACTGCAACATTACTTAGCCCCTTGAGCCGCTCGCAGCCACAGTTTGTCCAACATCGACCACACATTGTAAATATTAGTTTGAGTTTTGTAATAGTTTATTTCAGTTATAAAATATCTCTGGTGCTTGTAGACATTTAGTATGATTCCTTGTTATTTAAATGTCTACTTTTGTCACTTAGATTTTTGTTCCACAAGCTATTATAGGGGTATTAGTCATTCAAAAATATTTCAACCTCACTGGTATCAGCCTCCCTACACCAACAATTGTAATTTTCAACTTTCATCAAGCATTGAACAATTTACTTTCAATGCATTCAAGTTCTCTGTTGTAAACTTTTTTCAAAATTGTAATCAAATTTTATTTCGTTACGAAACGATTGAGAAAAGGCAAAAATCAATCTTGCAGAGCAAACTACTACTGTATGATATCCCTTTTTGTGCTAAGAAAAAAGGTACCCTGTAAAAGTTGGTATTAGAGCTGCATCTCACGACCCTCGATAAGAAAGCTATGGAACCGAATACATCACACACCACTAAAGTAGGAGTTCATCAAAAGAAGAGTACTAAACAGTACGTGCATGCGTTTGATGAAATAACTACTACGTTGTGCTATGTCATGGAGGGCCTAGAGGAAAAGTTTGAGGTGGTTAAAATGGATATTTGTGAATTACACATCTAACTAGATGAAAGCTGATAGGCTTACGCAGCAGTGACTAACACTGTGGCAATCATTCCTAATCTACGGGATGAAATGGAAGAGTTGAGAGCTCAATTGCGAGTTCTCCAACATACGGTTGGAAATAGGAAAGCTCCCGCACAAGAGTATACACCTAGGCTCAGAATCCCAAAATCATGTACCTACGAAAGGGCGTGCGATGCAAAGAAAGTAGAGAACTTCCTGACATAAGAACAATACTTTCTCGTGGCTTCGATTGAAGACTAAACAAGAAAGGTATCAACAACAATCATAGGTAGAAATGCAAAACTGTGGTGGTGGACAAAATACATTGATATTCAGGCCAACGGGGTGCAAATAGATTCTTAGATCTCCTCAAGAAAGCGATCAGATATTAGTCTTTCCCAAAAAAATGTAGAATATCAGGCTCGATGGGTACTATAGAAACTAAAACATACAAACTTTATCAGAGAGTACGTGAAAGCCTTTTTGAGATACATGATGAATATTCGAGACATATCAGGAAAAAGGACAAGCTCTTCAGCTTCAGGAAGGTTTGAAACCGTACACGCAAAGAACTTCAGAGATAGAAGGTCGCTGATTTGAGCATGGCCATGGAAGTCATTGAATGTTTAAGTGACTATCAATAGGAATAGAGAAAAGATCAGCCTTTGAGGAATAGTCAAGCTATTGGAGGTGGAAACAGACCTTTTAGACCCATCTTGAACTCAAATGGAGAAGAACGTTACTCTTATAATAGTGGATTAGCCTAGCAAGGTATCCTTCACTATAACTTTCAAATAAACCATCAAAGTGGTCTTCAGGCAACTGTCACGATAGCCACAACAAAAAACAAAATAAAGGAATGACGCTGGAGGGTAAATCTGATACCGCTTCTAAACTGGTGTTCTTTTTATGTGAAGGACCTCATCGAGTGTGGGACTGTCCTAAAAATGACTTGTAAATGCATATTGTCAACTAGCAAGTGGTAGATCGAGTTCAAAGCAAGATGTACCACAAGTTAGCTATCACGATGAGACCAACTCCGAAGACGAAGAGGATGTAATTGGTGCATTCTCACATCAATGCAATACACTATTGCACCGAGATGCGAAAGAGGATGATGTTTCCTCAAAAGATATATAAATGGAAGAATCGAAGGCTCGTATTTGTAAGGCCAAAGGCCTAATATACATTGATGTGAAGATCAATGGAAAGACCATCAGGGCTATGGTAGATACTGGTACTACCTACAACTGCATTGTAGAGCATTCAGGTCTATGGTGGATACTAGTGCTACCCACAACTGACTCAGACTTGTTCTGGAAAAAGGTAATCGAAAGGTCAAGGCAATCAACTCAACTACTCAACTAATTGTTGGAGTAGCGAAATCTGTGCTAATCAAGGAGGGTCCTTTTAAAAAAAGGACAACTTTATCTGCAGTCCAATTGATGACTTCAAGCTTATTTTGGGATTGGAATTCCTTTAGGATATGAAGATAACAGTGTTGTGATACTCTGATTCATTAAGGATGGTAGGTAATAAGACATACGTCATCCATATACAAGATTGGTGCCAAGATATATCGAGTCATTACCCATCGCGAAGAGGATTAGAAGAGTTACGTACAGAGTAGAACTCCCTTCACAGTGCAAAATACATAACGTCCTCCATGTTGATGTACTCAAACCATATTTTGCAAATAAGAAGGATCATCCAAAAATAAGCCAAGTCACATGTGTTTGAATTGAAGAAAGTAGGGAAGAAGGTTGCTGAAGCTATTTTTGACCACTGTATTACTCGAGCTTCCAGGAAGGATCATTAAGAGTATTTGGTCAAATTGAGTGGATACATCAATGAGGAGAATACTTGGGAAAATACCTTCAAACCTATAATCGAAAAATATCATACATTGTTGGCACTGAGGACGTCACCAAAGCAACTGGGGGAGAATGTAGAGGACCGCAGCATTACTTAGCCCCTTGACCCACTCGCAGCCACTGTTTGCCCAACTTCAACCGCACATTGTAAATATTAGTTCAAGTTTAAGTTGTAGTTTCCTATCAGTTGTAATAGTTTATTTCATTTGTAAAATAACTCTAATATTTGTAAACATTTAGTATGATTTCTCATCATTTAAACATCTACTCATGTCACTTAGGTTTTTGTTCCACAAGCTATTATAAAGGATATTAGTCATTCAAAAATCTTTTAAGCTTACTCGTATTCGTTCCCCACACCAACAATTGTAATTTTCTACTTTAATCAATTGTAATTTGTAGCTTTCATCAATCAATGAACAATTTACTTTCAATGCATTCAAATTCTCTATTGTAAGCTTTCTTCGAAATTGTAATTATTTTTTTTCATCTCGAAATGACAGAGAAAGTGTGGAAGGTAGTCTACGACTACTGTCCCACGGTGTTCTTTCTTGTGCTAAGAAGAAAGGCACCTCGTGAAACTATGATTTGAATCCCCCAAACAATTCAAAGCAATGACAATGCTACTTCAAACTTGATGGTCAATGTACCTATTTTATTTAGTAATCTTTCTCGAGCAATACTAAATCTATCCTTATGTGTCAACCTACAATATCTCTATGAAGATTGCGAACAAGTGATGATGAATTTAATTGTTATACATTCAGTTAAACCATGCAAGACATCCATATATATATCTCTATAATTTACAATGATCGTTATCATGTACCATAATCCTTATTTCAAACTAGTTCAATTAAGAACCCATTAAGTGAAAGCATTAAACACATATCAATCATTCAACCTAATCAAAGTCTCAAAGTTAAAATTAAAAAGTTATAATATTGATTCATCGTCATCCTAGTAACTAAAAATTTTAGTAGAGCGTCATAAAGTTACAAAAATATATGATTGAATATTGAGACATTATCTGAATTTTAATTATAGAAATAAAAAGAGCAAGGTCTTAAATTCTTGAATTTCTTCAACACTTACTAAATAATCACCTTAAGTCTTCTTCTAAGTTGTCCAAAATTCAAGTAATAATCGTCAATTTACGTGTATAAATATTTACTCTTGCATCTTTCATTTTGTTCCCTCTAATGGTTGGTAACTCGATTTTTTGCCTCCGAAAGTATGTTAAAAACGAAACTGCATCGTATCTCATAGAGAAGTTGAGTCAAATTAGAAAATAGATTTTTTTTCCTATCATAATGATACAATAGCATGTTGTAGTCCATTGCAATCATATAGTTATGCATGTGGAGCTTTATAAATTGACTTCAACCTCCTTGCGATCGCATCGAAGGGTCCTTACAATCGCACGGCGTTCCTTCTTTGACTTTGTTCACTTTAGTCCTTGAATTCCTTCTTCGATTCAGATAGAGTCCTTATTTGAATCATGTTTCCTTCATCTTTCAGTTGT